CCGAAAGTAAGGCAAATCGCTACTGATAGTGCAAAGGCCAATTTGTTCCCACCACTTAAACGAACAATGCAAATTGTGGTTAAGCCCCTTATCTTTATGTGATTTGTTATGTTTAAAGCTTGTATTGAGATTACGAAAACAGTTTACTTAATTTTTTGTAAGTTGCAAATTTTGTAAGTTTTTAATACATTTCTTTTTTTAAAAAGGAAAATTTAATTATACCTTAGGTAGAAATGAAGTGTAAACATGTTTTCCTTTTTGAATTACAGGTATTGATTTTCAAGCAACATTGGCGGACTTTGCAGACAGTTCTAACAAAGACATTAATTTATATATTTTATATAGCTGGAATTTCCAAACTTTAAAGAAAATCTCAACCGATCTGTCAGTGCTTAGGGAAATTATATATTCTTAATAAATGGTTAAAATAGGCAAAATAAGTATTTAGTCGATTTCAAGGGATTAAAGCTGCCTTTTCGGGGTTTATATCCCCATGAAGTAAATGTGATCATTATTAATCAGCCGTCCTATTACTTAGGACGTACTGCTTAAAAAAGTAACAACTTGGTATTTGTATCGTGTGTCGGGAATCAATGGCATTAAATTAGTTCACCCCCACACATTTGCACATACAGACAAGGTACATGCTTGTACAAATGTACGTAAGTTTCGACAGATAAGGCACTAACTAACTTAGCAACTGGCACTAGTGCTACATAGTACGTACCGCCCAGTTTGCCCAAGACTCGTTCCACGGCACTGGCACATCCGCCGCAGGTCATCTCCACCTTGAACTCGTGCACCTGGGAATAGCGGGAAAATGGAATGGTTATGAATGGAAATTTCAGCGCTTTTCCAATCGATTTTGGACTGGACTCAACCACTGAAACGCACTGGCATCCTGCTGCTGCTGCTGCTGTGACTTTTGGAGTCCGTCGTATGCTTGTAGACTTGCGGTAGGTTGAACAGCTTGGCGGCTTTCCTCGACTACTTCTACTTCCAAACGTGGCACTCAGAAAGTCCCTTTGTTTTTGCAGAGAATTTCTTTGGATTCTATATATTTGACTTTTCAGAGTGACCGAGTGGATCTGGCCTTTAAATATATCGCATCCATACCCTTTTCAGTGCGGTGCAGAACTTTGATAAAGGCTCTAGCGGCGACTCAAGCCAAATGGTGCTGCCAGTGCTGCCCAGTTGGCGCCTTTTATTCAAAAGTCAGTCGCTTGAAGGTCGGGGAAAGGAACAACTTCAGTCCGTATATTATGTATATGGGAGTTGACTAAGGGGATTCACCTAGAGTCTAAACTACAGGGCGGTAGGTGAGCACCAACATCAAGTACGGCTCCCAAGTGCTCTAGAATTAGATTTAAGAAGCAAAATAATACTCAAGTGGCCCACTATCTAGAATTTGGATGACCATTTCTGTTAGAATGACCCTATATATTTATGTCTATATTGATCAAATATTGCCTTTAATTTCCTTCGATTTGCCATGAAGCTTTTGCCCTCCTTGTAAATTGAAAATTTATTGTGGTTATGAAATTAAGAAAGATAGCAAAAAATGCATTTCAGCCATTGCGAACCCTAATGATTGCACTGCCAATTAAATTTAAGGTGCCAAACTTTGGGAGTATTAACTGAATAGCTAGACTCGCTTGGGACAGGCACCAAAGCGGTAGACCACCTGGTGATCGTATAGCTGGCCGGGATTGAGCACGATTGAGGGGAAGTCGCAGTGGTTCATTGCGTCTGGGTACTTCTGCGTCTGCAGGGTGAATGCTGACTGGCGGACATAGTTAACCCCATCCTTGCCCACGTTGGGTATGTCCCCGCTGTCCTCGGCCGGCAGATGATTGGCCGTGCTGAACTGAAGGCCCGGCTGGTTGGTATGCACCTCCATGAAACGGCCGCTGCATGGATGAACTACACGGGCGACCAATTGCACCCGGTTGGGAGGAATGTCCACGCAGAAATGGTTGTCGAAGCCACCCAGCGGGCAGGCGGACACCTGGTTGAGGCGCTTGCCAAGACTGACCAGGCTGGAAAAGTCGTACGGGGTGGTACGCACTCGCATCAACTTCCCCGTGGGCAGGAGCTCCTGGTCCACGTCCACTATCTTCTGGGCCTTGATCATCAACATGTGCTGATAGAGCGCATCCCGGCCCGCGCCGTGGCCGGCCAAATTAAAGTAGCTGTGGTTTGAGATGTTCACCGCCGTGGTTGCCTTGGTCCGCGCCTCGATCCGCATCCCGAAGCAGCCCGTCTCGTTGAGCGAGAAGTTGATGTTGGTGGTCAGCTCGCCCGGATAGCCCTCGTGGCCGTCCAGCGAGATGTGTTGCAAGGTGATCCCGTCTTTGTGCACCCCCACCACGTCCCAGATGACGCTGTCGAAGCCCACAAATCCTCCGTGTATGTGATGCCTATCCCGCAAATTGCGGCTCACACTGACCTCCTTACCGCAGAGCTTGAAGCGACCGTGTGCTGTACGATTGGCCACCCGGCCGATCGTGGCTCCAAACAAGCACGGCTGGTTTCGGTAGTACCCTGCCACATCGTCGTAGCCCAGGCACACGTCCTCCAGCTTGCCGTTGAAGTCGGGAACCTTCAAGGACTGGATGATGGCACCCATCGTTAGGATCGACACTGACATGCCACGCTCTGTGCTCAGCGTAAAGCGCCGAACACGGTCGGTCTTCTGCGTCATCGGGTTGACGGCGATGCCGAACATGTCCTCGATCACTCGCACCATCCTGGAACTTCCAAGTTTTGCCAAATGCCTAAAGGAAGATTACTAAAATTTTGAAATGCCTTGCTGTGGCAACAAATTTGAGAATGTCAAAGGGCTCACACTCCTGAAGTCCAGATCAATGCCCACTGGGAAGGGGCTTAAAAACGTAAGGCATTAAATTTTGTAAGTCGTGGTAATGCCCGTTACTCAAACTGAAAACAAGATAGAATGCTATAGTCGAGTTCCGCGACTATCAGATACCCGTTACTCTTGTGGAAGTGCAAACGAGAAATTTTAACATTTTCCGGAATGCCCGAAGAAATTGGGACAAAACTAATAAAATGAAAAAAGAAAACATAAAAAGTGTGTTTAAATGTGTGCGTTAGAGTGGGCGTGGCAAACATTTAGAAACAAACTTGCGCTGAGTCTATGTCTCTGGAAGCTGCATGCTTAATCTCAACATTCTAGCTTTTGTAGTTCCTGAGATCGAGGCGTTCATACGAACAGACGGACATGGCCAGTTCGACTCGGCTATTGATCCTGATCAAGAATATATATACTTTATATGGTCGGAAACGGTTCCTTCGTTACATACTTTTCAAAGAATCTAGAATAACCTTTTACCAAAGACACTAGAATAATAAGATGCGTAACGCCATACGATTTTTTTGCACACGATTTTTTCGGACTGGCTGGCTAGAGCTGGCTCCAGGCTCTCTCGAATTTTTTTTCAAGAGCCAGAGAGAGAGCGCTCTAGAGCCAGCAGCTATCTTGTACGCATCAGTGATGCCAATATTTTTCTGAAAAAAAGGACAGATTGAGAAAAAAAACGGAAAAAATAGGCTGAAAATTTAAAAAAAGGATGAAAAAACAGGACAGATTTTGATGCATAAGCCTGATTCATACGTTGCCATTGTGACAATGCGTCTCGAATACGTTTCGGGCATTTTATAGGCTTTATTTAAGACAATTTTTACTACTCACATTCAAGACCTCACTATTTCACTCACTAATTTAATTATGACAAAATAATAGTTTATTATTTAATTACTTACAGCTCGAGATTAATTTAGTAGCACTTTGTATACGAATAAACATAAAAATATATATCCCTTTCAGTGTAGGGTAATTAAATTCTTTACAATAATTTTATATTGTATTTTAAATATTTTTTATGAATAAATATTTTAATATAAATATTATAACATTTCAAATATATGAATATGAATAACATTTGCCCGGTTATTTGTTCAAGAGGGATGCCAATTTGATCTTGCAAGTAATCGCACTTAATAACACATACACTACACTCACTGCTCGACCGGTAAGAGAGATTACTTGAACTACTTTGCGACTCTAAATTAGAAGACGTCCCTTACAGTCCTCACTAGAACAAGTTCGGAATTATAGGGCTACAAGAAAATATGTTTCCTAAGCAAATATTAAAAGCGGCAATAACTATGTGTTCCGACAGTAAGTTAAACATTGTTCAGGCTTTACTTAAGACAATTTTTACTACTTTGTGCAAGTTACACATACACTACATACATACATACATACATACGTACGTATACATACATACATACATACATACATACATACATACATGTATACATACATACATACATACATACATACATACATACATACATACATACATACATACATACATACATACATACATACATACATACACACATACATACATACATACATACATACATACATACATACATACATACATACATACATACATACATACATACATACATACATACATACATACATACATACATACATACATACATACATACATACATACATACATACATACATACATAGATGCACACATACCTACATACATACATGCACACGCACACATACCTACATACATACATACATTCATCGGTACATACACTACACTCACTCCTCGACCGGTAAGACAGATTACTTGAAATATTTTGTGACTCGAAATTAGAAGACATGCCTTACAGTCTTCACTAGAACTAGTTGGGAATTATAGGGCTACAAGACAATATTTTTCCTAAGCATTAAAAGCGGCAATAACTATGTGTTCCGACAGTAAGTTAAACATTCTTCAGGCTTTAATTAAGACAATTTTTACTACTTTGTGCAAGTAACACATACATACATACATACATACATACATACATACTTGTCTTCACTCTTAAGTCACGCTGAAGGACTTACGCACCAGTTTAGTCTGTCGTTTTAACATAATTAATTTAAAATAGCTAAATAAAACGTCAAGTACTTTGGGGTTGGACTTTATTGACGAGAGATCATGACGACGCTTTTGGATCGTTGTTGCAACAGCACTTCCAGGACTCCTCGACCTTAAACCAGTAAAGGACCTCGTGCCGGTACTTCTCATTTGGCTCGAGGCTGATCGAAGGGAACTCCGGATGGTTCATGGCATCGGGGAACTTCTCCGTCTCCACGCAAAAAGAGCCATGCCTGTCATACTTGGTGCAATTTTTGCCCACTATCGAGGTCAGGTTATTCGCGGTGTAGAACTGCATGCCTGGCTGGTCGGTCCAAACCTCCAGTACCCGGCAGGATGGCGGATGTACAATCTTGGCCACCTTGGCTACACTTTTTTGCACACGGCCTCCGTTGACCACAAAGCAGTTATCGTAGCCCTTAATCTGCCGATTCTCAAACTGCATGAGCCGGTCGCGCATCAGAACGGGCAGCCTGAGATCAAAGACGGTGTCCTTGACGTCGATTAACTTTCCCGTGGGGATCTGCAGCTCGTCCGTGTCCACAATGTGATCAGACGCGATCTCCACTGTGTGCTCCGCCAGACCCTTCGCTCCGGATCCGTGTCCCGCCAGGTTAAAGTAGGCGTGGCTCGAGAGGTTGACCATGGTGGAGCGGTCTGTGGTGGCCTCGTACCTGACCCACAACCGATTCTCGTTGTCCAGCTGGTAAGTGATGAGGCACGTCAGCTTGCCCGGATAGCCCTCGTGACCGTGGGGCGAAACGTGACGGAATATCACCCCTTCGGGAGACTTCTGCACCACCTCCCATATGACGCTATCGAAGCCAACAAAGCCCCCGTGCAGCTGGAATTTATCCTGAAATTTTTCGATTTATATATTCTGTATTCTTTGTTTCCTTAAACTACTGTTTATTCTTATAAAAGTATAAGCAAACAGACCTATTACCCTTAGCAGAAATACTATGCTATTTCTATAAATACCTTATTAATAACGATAGAAACTTGCAGAAAAAAAAATAGCTTTGGAAAAGGACAGCTTTTTCGTTTTTTCAAGCCGCTAGAATAGGCATGCCCAACATGTTTTGGCACATCGTTATAAATTGGCAAAAACAAAAAAGCATTGGGTCTGAAAGAAACTTGTACCGAGTATTCGTCACTATAGTCTGCATGCTTAACCACAAATTTCTCGCTTTCATAGTCCAGATCGACTCAGCTACTGACCCTGATTAGATATTTACTTTATAGGTTCTAGTATACCCTATAACTCTACGAGTATCGGGTATAATAATCAAACCGCTTCTTAGAGAATTAAAATCTACCACTAAGCAAACATACCTTTTCCAAAGCAAGTTTCAAATAGGCTAGTAGAATATTTACCTGGATGTTTTTTGTCACCAAGATTTTCGTGTCGTTAAACGTATACTCGCCATTGGCCACCCGGTTGGCCACTCGTCCAAGGGTCCCTCCTATGTAGGCACCCTTATTGGCCAAGTAGCTGGCGATGTCGTCGAAACCGAGACACACATCCTCCACCTTCTTGTAGGCGTCCGGCAAGCACACGCTTTGGATGATGGCACCCAGTTGGATCACCGACACAGTCATGCCCTTGGAGTTTTTGAGCGTGTACCGGCGCACCATTTCCGGGGACTTGGTGAACGGATTCACGGCCAGGCCGAAGATCTCCTCCTCTAAGGTAATCGACATCTCGGCGCGTCTCGGTGTCGTTCCTTCCCCTTGAAACGGCTGACAGCAACTGCCTGGGTATCAGGCATACTCTGATCCGTCACACCTCTGCTTACTGCGAGTTCGGTTCTGACTAAGATTATGAATAGCCAAAGTCGTTCGGGTCGCGAGCTTCTCCCTCAAAGTCAAACCGGGCAATCAGCTTGTCAGAAGTCGATTGCCCAACCCCCGCATTTTTACCGCCCACAATAATGGGAGATAAAGCTGCCATGTAATCGCCACTTTACTAGAATATATATTAGAGTAGTTCCACAGGGGCGCGACTTTCGGGAGAGCTCATAAAACAAAAAGAGCTCTATATTCAAGCGTCTCGACTATGTGGTATTCATCTCTGCAATGTACTTGTTTGTGATCATTGTTATTGATTAATATAATATTATCAGTCACCTTGCTTGATTAAATTCATAGTCTTAAGCTCTCTGAACGCCAATAACAGGCAAACGTAAATAAATTGTATTTGTATGGCCTTACTTCTAAAGGGGTAACCTAAGTTCGTTATAACGTATGTAACAGATAAAAGTTTATATGTATGTATGTATTCTTGATCAGTATTATTAGCCGAGTAGATCTAGTAAAAAATTTTTATTTATTTACGGTAAGCAAGTAAATATGTGTACGTTAATATTGTATTTTTATAACGTCAAGTAGAAAATAATTTTTTATCAGAGAATTTGACAGCAGAACTTTTGTATGTTGAGGGTGCAATTGTAACATGCTTTTTACCTCTTTAAAAGTGTTTTGGATTGATTAACAATATGTAACAGATAAAATAAACTATCGGGTTTTTTTCTTTCAAATCTTCATTTATACTCATCTTCACCACGTGGGCTGTCGTACCCAGCGATGGATCATCCTGTGAGCTGCATAGTATATAGTCGTCTGCGATTATGGGTTAAAAAATATATCTTAGTGCTGACCCCAAATACATTTTTATATGATTATTTCTATGATAAAACATTATTTAAGTCACCAAAGTAATCGAAAAACGATTTCAGAATTACATATTTAATTTGATAATTATTTTATTTACCAATATTTACATTTGTGAGCAATAGCTGTGCCAGTAATTTAAGTTTTTATGTACATTTTCATTAAACAAAATAAATGCAGTCCGGGTGTCACCGGGGCTAGTACTTATTTATGTTAAACAGCCGCACGCCATGGAACTGCGGCAGCTTGGGAAGCGTGACGACCACCAGGGATATAAAGTTTGCAATAAAGTGTTCCGTGTTGTTTCGGGTGTACAGGCAGGTAAGTAGGAAACTATAAAAGAGACGGTGTATGTTATGTGATTTTTTATATCAGACCATATAATGTCTGGTAAGGTAGAACTTACATTGCTAATTCATTAAATTTAAGTATGCATATCAAATTAATTTATTTTAATAAATTTCCCACCACTACATTCAATAAGTATTCACTTACAGAACAATGGGAACAGCGGTGAGGAACTTGCGGGTCGTAGTCATCTGCACCCCGTCATCAATCTGTTCCCAGTGTGTCCAACGCCGGCTAGGATCGTTCTCGGTGCTCAGCCAGGGAGCGCCCTTGATGACGTGCAGGAAGTACAGGTGGGCCTGGGAATAGGAGCTAGGATTAGGACAGAATCTTTAAAGGCACTACGATCACTCACTGCATTGTGAAGAAGATTGGTGGCTGTCCAGGCCCACGGAATGCTGACGAAGGGCACTGATAAGAAGAGCAGGTGCACAGACAGCAGGCCCAGAAAGTATGCTAGCCAAAATCCGCGGGCACTCAGCCAGGAGCTATTCGGATTCGCCTCACCGTGGCCTCCCGCAATGGATGTCATGTGGCTAAATTATTAACCTTCGGTTCCAAAACACTTTAAAAACAAATATTTATCATTTAAGTTCAGTGTGACCGCGCATGCATACAAATATCACACTAAATTTTATAAAATATACCACTCTTATTAAAATACCTAAATTATGTATTTTTTGACAATTTATTTAACAGAAAATAAATAAAAAATTTACAAAGAAATTGTTTTATAAAATTAAAATCCAAGCTTTTTTAGTTTTCAAATTAAAAATTGAAACTGTATCATATATTTTTAGGTTATGATGTCTTTTGTCTTTTTTGACAATTTTTTGATAAAAACTTATTTAATAGAAAATAGATAAGGCATTAAAAAAAAAAAATGGTTAAATAACATTTAGATAACAAGCTTTTGTACAAAACTCTCTCAACTAAAGAAAGCTAAAAAAATAAATACACTAACTTATAAGAAAAAGGTCAATAAGGATGCCTTTTATTTTGTTCATACTAGGAAATATATCTTACGAAAAAGAAAAGGTCATTGATGCAAACGTTGGATCTATTTTGTCAAGGATTATGCGACTCAGTGGAAATAAGATAGTTCCGTATTAAATTCCAGTGTGGTATATGTATGCTGGTGTGACCAGCCACTGAGAAGAAAGGAACAGCCATTTTGTTGTTTTGGCGTTGCAATTTTTTGGCATAATAAAGACAGAAAAAAATAGGATTCGGTGCTATTTAGTTCGAAATCCTTTGCAAAAACTCGAATTCTTTGCCGAAAATGCCACTCTATCAGTAAGTGAATACAGTTTATCCAAGAACGCTTAGATATGAGCGGATCCAATGCAAAGTCCTCGGGGACTGGTAAGTACCCTATAACTGAGATTTGCGGAGCCCCACTGACACAAATTCGAACAGGCTTCGGCAGCCACATTCCCAGCATCGAGGAAAAAAACAAGCAGATCCAGCAGGAAACAATGATGGAGAAGCTGCGGGCCAAGTACCGGAATAAGCCAAAAAGCTACGAGGAGATCAAAAAGTCGGTGCGTATGTACTTCATCGAAAAGCACTACCCTCTGGACCCACTGTGCAAGGCCACGCTACAGTCGGCGCTGGACAAGTTGCAGCACTACATCAAAGTCACGTCACGTCACGGCCTCGTGGAGCGTTTGGAGAGCCTATCGCGCCAGCTGGGCCTTAAGTTCATGGAGGACCAGCAGCTGCTTTTTATCTCCACAGACATGTTCTACGTAGAGATCCTGTTGGACGCCGCCGGTAGTTTGTCGGACGTCAAAGTGCACCACGAGTGCAAGATCGAGCAACAGTCCAGCGAGCTGGTGGCCTGCCTCAAGTCCGGTGACTTTGCAGACTTTACGGTTCAACTGGAGGGTCTCTCCTCCATTTACCAACTAAATGCCGAGCCCAAGGTGAAAAAGAAGGCGTTTCTGGCGCTTCAGGCCATGGAAACGGACATCCAGAGCCTCTACCAACTGCACCTTCAAAGTCACTCCGGAGACAGCTACTCCCTTATGACGAGTTCATCGGTGGGTCTGGTGCTGCCCCGTCGCGGTGGCCATCCCATGAAGCTTACTTATTTCTGCCCGCCGCTCCACCTTCCCGAAGGGGATCCCAAACTGGCCAGCAGCGATTTCACCATTGACCAGGTAATGCGAAGCAGCTACGGACTGAGTGCCACCGTCAATCTGGAAGGCTCATCGGCCAACAAACTACAGACTCTACCAACGATGACCTTGGTGCGCGATGCCCAAACGGGCTTAGAGGTTCCGACGTATGCCCAACTTAACCAAAACAACTCGCTGCTGATGCCGGCCACGTATGTGCTGCGGCTTAACAAACCCATGCCTGTTTGCCTGGAATCACTAAAGGCTCTCGGGCTTCCAGGGCTAGACTCTGTCGCTACGCCCCCTAGTCCTCCCACCACAGTGCTAAATCTCATTGTACAAACGGCCTCGAAGCAGGCCATCAAGAACGCACAGCGCGGCCTATATGTAAATTTGCCTAAGGAGACGCACTGCTATTTCTTCACCGACAATCGCAAACTGCAGGGAACCCTAGTGTCATCGCTGCCCTTCACTGAACCCGCCCAGGTACCTCGGATCGTGGCGTTTCTCAAGAAACAAGCTCTCTTCTACACCCTGCTCGCCAGCTGTGTTCGGGAGCAGCAGAAACAGTATAATGGTGAGTTTGATGCTTTACTCCACTGTCCCTTCTATGATAATAATATTCCTTCTTATGCTAATTCGTCCCAGATATGGACAGCACTGTGATACTGGAGGTAACCGCTGTTTCATTTAACCAAATCACGGTGGAGCTGCAGCACCCGTACGAAGAATCACTGGCAACTGTGGATTTTTTGCTAGAGGACGGTCAGCCCACGTGTAGCGTTTACTGTCTGAGCAATGAATATGAGCTGCTGTCCCAGAAGCTTACCCGCACAGTTCGCAAGGTGGTATCCATTCCCATGGTCATCTACAAGTTGCTCAAGTGCTGGGATGAGGAGCACGAGTTCAAACTGCACGGCGCGATTGGTCCTGGAGCTGGTTCAGGAGCAATCGGAGGTGGAGGCATGAGTGGTGGTGGACCTGTCTCGGGAGTAGGCAATAGCTTTACACAGTTTGCAATGGATACTGCGTCGCCCTCAGATGGAAGCCTTCCCGGAGGTGGCTTCGCAAATATCAACAACCTTAAAATGGACGCCAAGTCGCGATCTCTAGCGGATGCTTTTGCCGCTTCTACTTCGGCAGCAGCGGCCATAGCGGGTCTGATCAATCTCAAGCGCGAAACGGATCCACAGTCTGGAGGTTCGGCAAGTGGCACCACAGTTAGCGGCAGCTCCAGTTCTTCCAGCGCCGCCAAGACGAGTGATCATGACATTGCTGATAAGTACAAAAATATCTGGAAAGACAAGACTCCAAATTTGAAGCATTGCGTCAGCATAACTCCCATCCCAGGCGATGGAAAGTCTGGGTCAGCTGGGGGACTTCCCGGCGTTGAGGTACAGCGAACGGGTGGTATTGAAATTATTCCATTGAATGCCCAGGCATCTGTCGCCGGAGGAGGTGTTACAGCCTCATCCAGTGCTGCTCCCACGACTATAACTATTACCCCCATAACGGGCAAGGATCCCAGTAAGGACTCAACGAAAAAAAACAGCTCTGCTTCATCTGGAGTAAGTGTTTCCGCAAAGCGTCCTCACGAAGGTAGCACGAGTAGTTCGTCTACGTCCGGTGGTAGTGGTTCTGGCAGCTCCATGTCATCTTCAGCCAGCAGCGGCTCTTCGGATACGCAGAAGGAAAAGAAGCGAAAGAAGAAGCGCGATGACTCGCCCATGGGACCGCCGGAGAAGATTTATTCTAGGCAAAACTCGCCTGCAGGTGGCGGTGATGCTTCCGCGACTGGTGGAGTGGTGCGCAAGTTCTCCTCTCCCTCGTCATCACCCAAAGCAGGTGGCGCTGGGCAAGGTCTAATAGCCGGAGGGCCGGCCGCTCGCCCAAGCCCTAAGCACTCGCCCGTATATAGCAGTCCCAAGCATAACACCGCCTCTAACAGCCCGAAGTCGCCGTTTGGCACACACTCACCCAAACACGGTTCTTCCGGAAAGCCGAGCATGTCTACGCTTAAGAGTGCAGCTACAGCCGCCACCATCTTAAGTCCCAAGGGCGATAAGTCCTCGCCCGCTGTGGGGAACACATCTTCGGGACCATCTACCTCCTCGGGATCCGGGGGAGCTACTGGTCTGGTAAGGTCATTTGCCAGCGTTGGAGCACCGCCGCCTCCACCTCCAATTCCTCCATTAGCGAGCACTAGTGGATCTATTAGCAGCAGTCAGAGTTTAAAGAAGGAGAAAACCTCTTCCGCATCCGGTTCCAGTTCCACGTCATCCTCGGCGACTGCAGGTGTCTCATCTAGCGGAGGTATTTCCCCGGCTAGCGTGGCTGCTGCAGTGGCTGCCCTGAAATCCTCACAACAGCAGATGAAGTCAGTTGCCAGTCTTTCGCATTTGGCGGCGGGCGGGGGACTGGGTAGCTACGCGGCCCCGTCAGGCACGGGAGCGTCTGGTGCAGCCGCAGTGGTGGTGGGAGCAGGAGCTGGCGCTGGAGCGGGGGCCTCCGGACTGGAGCTGAGTGCCCTGCGCAAGGGCATGACGGGAGGTGCGGTAAGTCCGTTTTCATTATAAGTGCTCCACACCACACCAACCCACCCCCAGCATCTCCCACTGGAAGCCTAACACGTAGTTTACTCTCTGCCACCTCTCCTAACCAATGCAGATCAAAATCAGAGGGAACCTATCTTTAAACTAATGCAAATGCTGTATTTACCTTAGCTATAAAACGATTTGTAATTTGGCTATCTCTGCTGTAGTTGAAAATGATTATATTACTATGATTATTATTTTTTGTTAGTGTTTCGTTTTCCCTTTTTCTTATTTTTGTAAATACATATGATTCTTTTATTTGTCATATACTGCTGCATCCGTTTTATTTTCGACTAAACCCAAAACTCGTACGGTAATGGGGCTTATCAAACACTCAGTATCCCAAAACGCAAGCTTATACCTCTTCCTGCATTGATTACGTATGTAAAGTTATTCTGTTTGCCTTGTATTGTTGCTCGCCCTGCATGTTTCCTGTAGAAAAGCAAGGCGTACTATAAGATGGTTCACCAAGTCTAGCTGTTTATATCGTTCCTGGATTTACACCAGCGGTTTTATGGATGTATATGATTATTAAGCTTCATTAAGAACATTTGTAGATTAAACGTATATTAGTTGTGCGTGTCATTTCACTCTATTAGAAATTGATTATTGTTTATCCTTTCTTACTCTACGTTTTCTGGATTGCCTTCTGTTTAAATTTAGTTAAAAGAGTCTTCTTTCGTACTTAAAAAAATACTAAGATTCAAATTAGTCCTGTATATGATTATAATGAGCACTTTATGCTCGTACATTTTTTCGTAAGAAATATAATTTGTGCATATTCAACTTTAAAGCTAATTATTAACGGGGTCCTTTCTTGTTTTTTCTCCTTTCTTCCTGTCTGTATTTTCTTCCTACACAACATATGGTTGTAAAATCCCAAAAATGTTTCTTTTGCTACACTTGATGTTCCCCTTTTGATTATTATAATTTATTTTCTGGTTTATTTTTGGTTCCTTTGGTCCCTAACACACACACAACCACATGCTTACTTTGTCAGGTTAGTTTGATGACGTCGACGGCAGCTTTAGCACCAACAATTCCGGCGCCAATAACAACAGTAGCAGCGGCGGCACCGGGCTCGGCAGCGTCATTGGCGTCTCCAGTCTCGTCGGTAGTGGGTCAGGGGCAGGAAACAGTGGGAGCAGCAGCAGCAGCAACACTGGCAACAGCAACAATTCTGCAGCAGCAGCAACAGCCGGGAGCAGCGCCAACTAGTAGCTGCTTAGCCATAAGCGGGGGCAGCAGCGACTCCGCCGGGAGCAGCAATCCGGCCGGAGCCTCCACGGAATACATGGTGAAGCCCAGCAGCCAAGAGGGCCTCAAGCTAACCATCAACAAAACGGGGAGCAGCAAGAGCTCCGGCACCGCCTCCGGCTTTAGTTCCTCCTCTGGCGTCCAAGCGAAGGCTAAGAGCAGTAGCACTGGCGCCACGAGCTTCGCTGGGTCCACCGGATCCACAAAGAAGCAGCATACCGGACTCAAGCCTGGCGTAAACAGTGGACCCGCTTCCAAGAAGGCCACCGCAGGAGCTTCATCCGCTACGGCATCATCCAGCAAGCATTTCTTCCAGAAGGCCAACTCGTCGGGCAATCTCAGCAGTAAGCTAAGCGGGTCGGGAGCAGGCGGAGGACTTCCGCTGACCAAGAGCAACAGCACTAACTCCTTCCAAGAGCACAATGCCCCCAGGCGGCGTCCCAGTATGGGAGCCCTGGCTAGCGGAAGCAGTGGAGGAGCCAGCGGTCAGCGCAAGTCAGGCTCCACTACGGCAGGAGGCAGCGGATCTTCGGGCTCAGTATCGCCGGCCCTAAGCGGCTCAATGTCGCAGCCACCGCCGCGATTCGATCACCACACTGATATGATGACTATCCTCCAATACGCTTCCCCAACAATGGCCGCAAGCATGGAAGGATTTATCAAGGGGCTGCACAACAAATTTCAGATCCCAAAGCTGTCGCAGAGAGGAACCGGAGGCAATACAGCTAGTGGACGCAGTACGCCAAGTGGCAGTTTAGAAACGGCTTCAGCGGGAACATCATCTTCGATATTAGGACCTGCTACCAGCTCTGCTGGACTGACGGAGCCGGAAGCCAAGCCGCCGGTGCCTCCTTCGCCGTCTGGCAATGAAGGTCTCCTCAACCTAAGCAGCACGGCGGGTAGGCCATCGGGGGATGGTATAGATGAGGAGCTTTTGGCTAGCCTGGCTGGCGAATGACAGAAGGAAGACAGCCGTCATGAGATATTCCTGTTGCTCTATGCGATTTTCTCTTAAAGGTAGCATAGTAATTAAGTTGAGTTAGTTTAAAGCCATGATTTTGATGATGATTTTTATGATGGATAGGGAATTAGTCAATTTCTTAATTTCATTGGCAGAAAAATTATTTAAAACTCCAAAGGAAATAAATAAAATTTTACAACACGATGGCGAATTTGGTACAAAATCTCAGAGATTATTCCCGGTTCTATGAAGTCGATCAAACCTAAATCACCTTATGGTTTAAAAATTCATTAGGTAAATCTTAAGGATAGCGATACGATATGTATACATCGCTCTAAATATGTTGTAAAGTATAATAAATGTATTCAGTTGGAGATTTTTGGATTTTTGCATATTATGTGCGGGCGGACTATTTTATTATCTTTCAAATGTTGGTAAATAGTGTTGAAACAGCTCGAAGAAAGTTTTTTTCAAACTCTTGCTCAGAAAACCGTTCCACGGAGGCCCTATAAGCGAACCAAAATATAATAGATTGCACAGAATAAAATGTTTATCTAGTTACCTGGCTGCGCTTCGAATACCGGTCATTTCTGAGTTGTTAACAATAATATTTAATATGTTTTCTGCGTACTCAACCGCGTCAGTAGCAAGGAATCCGTTCTGACTTCCCTCGGAGATTTCAACGATGTCAAGCAGAGGACCCCCGGACCTGTGGGCCACCATTATAAGGCCAGCAGCCATGGATTCGACGATTCCGATGCCGAAATGTTCGTTCCACATAGTGTGAATGCCAATGTGGGCGGTTTGATACAACTTAAGAAGGTCTTCATAAGGGACATTCACACTGAATTGAACATTGTTCTCGAGCGACAGATGCTTGGTCAAGTCCTGCATGTTTTTCAACCGATCGTAGTCATCTTCATTTCGGCAGGAGCCCACAATGACCAACTTAATTTGGTTCCAAAGGCCCTCGTCTTGGGCCAAGAGAGTTCGCAGCTCGTATATGGCTTGCAGTTGTAGGGGATGGTCTTTCTCTGGGCGAAACTGTCCGACAGACAGTATGATGAATTCGTCTCCTTTTTCCGTATGCTGAAGGTTCTTTAAGTGGCTAACCTCGCACGGAGGGTACACCCGGTGGGTTTTGAAGGGCACATCCCACAGTTGCAGAATATGATTCTCGGTCCACGAGGAGTTCACCATAATAGTCTCAGCACAACAACCAACCCACTTGTACATCTAGAATGCGGTAACTTGGTATACAGCTTCGCATATACTTATTTGTATTTCCACACTCACCTTTGAGAACAAGCGGTAGTAGGCAAGCTTAGTCCAGGTGAGAAAGGGATTCCTCGCCACGTACTTCTTGTTGTTATGGGCCATTTGCCGCTGCTGAACCCTCTTCAGCATATCGGTGCTGATAACCGGATAATGCACATAGCAGCCCACCTTGCACTGGGCCAAGTAGCGGAACAAAGGATACGTAAAGGCGTATCCCATGGTGTCAATATAGATGTCGGGCGGAAACTTGCAGAGTGCCTCCAAGCCCAGGACCATGGATCCAATGCTCTGGCCGAGCAGAGTGAAATGCGGATAGTTCTTGGCCTCGATCCAGTGGCGTTGCTTCAGGAACACAAACTTAACATTGTCACTATCGACGGCAATGTTAAAGACATTTTTGGCCTTTTGCAGTATGGAATTGGGAGAGGCGTCTATGTCGCCTGTGTAGATTATCACCCTGGAGTTCGGGTACTTTTCCTTTAAATTAGAATATCAAATCTATAAGATTAGTATATTGACCAGAAAATAAATATACAGGTCTCAATAATGAGCTCTATAGCTATATTATTAACATGTAATTTACAGGATATGGAAAAGCATACAGTATGATAAGTTAGCATCCTGCTGATGAAATACTCCCATACATTTTATGTTGTTATGTGGTTATTTGCGGAAGGTAATTAACTTATTCTCATTATTATGATAACTATACGATCAGCTGATGATCGATTATCAACAAGACACGTATGTATGCATGTAAGATTTGCTGTTTTTCCAAAATTACCTGTAGGGCTCTCACGGCGCACCACAAGACACGTTCACCCCCGCCACCCGCATTGCAATACGGATGGAAAATGCCCACGTTGATGCCATTTTCCGAAGATGAGTGCAATTTATTCTTCCGGCTTAGCAACCATTGCCTCAGGAAAACGAATGAGAACACTGCCACCAACGCAAGCGACAACAACAACCAGAGACTGCGGATAACATGAGTCAGTATATCTGCCAGCAAAGGGTTACTATTCTTACAGAAACAGAAACATTATCGGCTTTTCTTCAGCGATGCATTATTATTACACGTAAATTGACAATACTGCATTATCTCGAATTAGGGATGGCCGTTCAGTATCACCTCTATCAACGAAAGCCGATATCTGCGATTTGGGAAATGTATTGAAAAAGTAATATTTATCGATAAAATATTTATCGATGAAATAACTAAGGAGTTGTTTCGAAATTCATGTATTCGAAAATTACTATCAAACTTATACAACATTTTTCTTATGATTACTATTTATATACAAATTTTAACCGTTACAGTTCTCCTAGCGTCAGTCAAAATTTGTACACATTTAAGTGTTAAAGCCTTTTTTAAATAAAGAAAATTAGGAAAGCAAATTTTAGACACATTAAATGCGCAAAGACGAAGTTTTTCTTGTGACACTGCTCCGCGTTTAAAGCTCGGGAAAGCTTTTGACATAAAATAATGTTGCACTGAGCATGCGCTCATTTAAAGGAACTTTTAAGGATAAATACAATTATACTCGCCAGTCTTCAATTCGAGACTATTTTATAAGAAACTCGAAAAAATGATATTAATCTGATAAATAATTAGTTATCTGTTCAAGTGAATCGGCAGTATTTCGAAAGGCAACTGAAAGCCAGAAACGTCTTAATTTATCAGAGAGAAAAACGAAATAAGTACATACCATACATACATATTAAAATGGTAAGGATGAAAATGGGTGCTGCAAAATTAGAAATGATAAAAAGTGTGGAGTGAAAAGAAAGTTTTTCTTACATCGGAAAAAGTATATTTACTGGTTGATCAACAACTACAAACGCTGCAATCTATGAGATCCGATTATTTTATGCCTGAAATAAGATACATATATTATGTATGTGCGTGTATATATACCGCCTATCTATATAGACACACTTATGTATTCGTGATTAGTTTGAAAAGTTAGTAATACAGAATACGGAGTACATATTAGCTTATACATATCAGAGGTGGAAGGAGTGAAGTAATTTATTAATTCTTAGCTCCTTTAGTTCGTTTATTTGTATGTACGCTTATAAAAACACACATGTACCTTGTGTAATATATATGTGTATATGTATGTACACACATGCGAATCCTTTCAATTATATAGTGTAGATTGTTCACAGTGATGAGTACTAAAAGGTTTATAGGATTCACAATTAACGAAAATTGGGGCCAGTGAAATAGATTACCTTAAAAAGGTTTATTGTCGTGAATTTAAATTGAATTGAAACGGTTCTTATTATTTTTTTTTTTAAAAGCCTAATAAAATATTGAATATTAAAATAATTGAAATACATAATTTTGTTAAATACAAAAAACGATCAAGAGCAAGTAGGGCAGTATTGCAAGTTCTACCAGGTTCCAATAGCCGTATTTTGGGAACACTATAAGGGAAAGAATAGGAAATTTAGGGTCAGAGACTGATTTCGTTGTTGATCTCTTCTTATCTAATAAGCTCCAATGGCCAATTCGATCCTGTTTAAAATAGGTTAAGGGCTGAATAATATCTATGATATTACTTCTATAGTATAAACAGAGCGATGTAGAAACGATTCACCTTGCTGGGATATATATTTTTGAACAGGATCACTGGAAAGGTTGATACATATATCCATCTAACTTCCCGTATTGAAGTCGAGATCTTGGGGCTGTAAGAACATGCCAGGCCACGCCCACTTATCACATTTTTGATAACTTTCTGACTTAAGGATTTATTTTGTTCGCATTATTATTTCAAAAATTATGATAAAATAAGATTTAAAATGCATTGCATGGTAACGTCAGAGGAGAAAAAAGCACAACTATAAACTTCTTCTTTTAAAAATTTTGATTTGTTGTATTCGAGATAGTGTTAAGCATGTCTGTTGCTTTAAACGGAAAGATTTAAAAAATTGAAAGGAGAAGTATTGGGAGTATTGACCAATTTGAGAATATTAATAATTTATAGACAAGAACGGTCGCCTTTATATATTTCCAAGTTAAATTTCTTTACAAACATTTATTGCTAAGTAACGTTTAATTTTTTGTTTATATTACAATATAGTACATATAAAAAATTTATTCTTAGAAATGAGGCATCATAATTTGTAAACTTAAAATTATGTTTATTCATTACAGATTAACGATACGAGGAAATATTGGACAGTTGTACTCTGCCTATTTTCGTTTTCATTTTCCTTGATCAGTAAGTATTGTTAAGGGAGAAAATATTTAAAATACTCTTATACAAAAATTGGTCATATTTCGAAAACACTCCACAAAGATGAAGATGATTTCAAAGAACAAAAATTCAAATATGACACCACACCTTCTTTCAGACGGCTCCTTCATATTGCCAGAGAATGACCCTCCCACAACGGCGCCAAAATTCTTATCCAGAGGTCACTTGTACAAGGTCATCGTGGGGGAGACCATCGAGTTGCCCTGCAAAGTACAGAACCTCGGCTCCTTTGTGCTCTTGTGGCGGAAGGGGTCATCCGTTCTCACAGCCGGACATTTGAAAATAACAAGGGATCAGCGCTTTAAGATAGTGGGAGACTATAACTTACAGATCAATGGAGTAAAGACTCAAGACGCTGGAGACTATATATGCCAGCTTGGTGATCAGGAAAACCGGGACCAAGTTCATACGGTGGAAATCTTGGGTAATTTATATTTAATTCTGCCCTTGAGAGTGTTTGCCAATGCTGGATGTATCTCATAGTTCCGCCCACACTGAGGGCCCTTCCTCATAATGGTCAAGTGACTGCCCGGAAGGGAAGCACCGTCACCCTGGAGTGCAAGGCGTCTGGTAATCCGGTGCCCACCATATTTTGGTTCAAGAAGGATGTGTTTTCCGGGCCAACACACCTGTCGGATAGCTCTACACTCATATTGGAAAACGTGGACAGGCACCATGCAGGCACATATCAATGCTCAGCCGATAATGGGGTAAAAGATCGCGTATCCATGGACATACAGCTGACCATACTCTGTAAGGAGAACGTTCTACAGCTAAATTATTGAACGTTTCAATTTTTAATAATAATATAATTGCCATAGCTCCCCCTGAAATAACGGTAGAGAAATCTTGGGTCCATGCATCCGAAGGATACGATGTGGAGCTCGTTTGCATAGTTCATGGAGATGTAAACTCAGAAGTAAGTCAAACACGGAAATTGTAATACTTAGACTTATTGCGAATCTTAAATACCACATCTATTTACCAATTCACAAAAAATGTATTTTTCTAAGATGCTGTGGTACCAAAACTCTTTTCTACTCGATGCTACCGATCGCCGATCTATGTATCCACGAGATGATAGGTACAGCCTCATTATCCGAAACTTCCAGCCAACGGATTTTGGCAATTATAGCTGTGTGGCGGATAATGCTTTGGGGAGAACAAAGAAGTATATTGAAGTATCTGGACGACCTGGTCCTGCCGACTTTATATCCCCTGCGTTGAGTGGATTCCTGGACCACTACAACCTGACGTGGACAATTGAGTCCATACCTCCGCTTGATGAAATTAAATTGCTGTATCGCCGTTTATTGGTACGTTAAATAATTATAAACCACTTCTAGTTATTAATATCACTACAACATCATTTCAGATGAATGAAACCTATCAGCACCCTGGTAAATGGCACGAGTATCACATCAAGCCAACGCCAATCAGAACGGATGGATCCCACTTTCTCATGTCGTATCTTGTCAAAAACTTGGAACACAACGCTGTCTATGAAGCTATTGTTCAGGCTAAAAATAAGTACGGATGGAACGAGGTACGTATCTGGTTGTTTAGTACAGGGTTATCCCTTACACATCCCTGTAATCTTCATCTAGATAAGCGATATCCATCAGTTCTACACGCGAAATCATGATCTTCTCCTCGATATCGACATGGAATACAAAATGGGCATTTCAAGCAATATTCGAATATCTCCAACTGATTTCGGAATAATTTTATCTGTATTTATGTTAGTACTCTATCCCATCATTAGTGTTTAAGGAATAACAACTAGGGTTTATTTGCAAATATAATTTAAATGGTGCCTTACTAAAACTTTAGCAAATAATTAAATTTACATGTATGTACATTAAGAAATCGTATTAAATGTATTAAAATCTCAATAGAATACTTCTCTCAATAGAAAGTTAATGAATGTACTTCCGCAATGGTTTAAGATAAGAAACCGATCTTAACTTTTTATCATTTTTCACATATGTTATCAAAAGTACCGTTTTCTAAAATGTTCAAGTGAATATTTACCATACCAACAAATAATATTAATTTCACTCTGTAACCATAACATACCAGAAACATTTAAGAATATTTTAGGAGCTATAAAACAATTTTTTTTTTACCATTTTGAAATATTTTGGTATTTCATCCAAATAACGTTAGCCTTAGAGGTGTTTTAAAAAACGAAATGAATCTGAGAAAATTGTTAATCTCAGCCTCCCGCTAGCCCGATCCATGAACTGAGTACCGGATTATATCATAATTACTCTCAAAAAGATATAATACATCAGCCTAAGCGAGCAGCTGGTATTGATAAGAAATAATAGCGGCATGCCGTAGAGGATAAAATAGTAGGTCATTGATTAGAATACACTTATCTAACTACGATTGGCTAATTAAATCGAATAATAAATACGAAAACAAAAATTCGTATATTGGCACAAAGGATATACATATGTACATAAGCACAAGTACTCGTAGTTTCAAAAGATCTTCTGATTGGCAGAGGTAATATGTCAAAGCAGATTAAAACATATACCACGTTTATACGATGCATATCCCGATATCCCCCATGCTGGTTGCACTCTTATTTTACTAAATTGTGAGTTGGCTATTTTACTAGCTACCCTTTAAAATTCACGTCCGAATTGGGACTACCTTCATCGTTGCACAAAAACCAGTTCCCCTGAAAAATATATAATTTTTTGGAAATGGAACCCCTAAGTTGTATGGAACCATTATTTTTTCTCTTATTATGGGTAGTGGGTATATGCAAAACAGAAAAATATTCACAACATTATAGATCTCCATTAAAATTCAGAGCTGAAAAAAAGCTTACCAACTTCATATGGAAACTTTAACGAATACAGTATATACCCTCCTGTAATCATAAAATACATAAATACATATTGCAATATCGTTCAACGATTGTAGATTAAAAAAACTTTAAAATAAAATATAGAACTTTAAATAATTACGTAATAAGAACCATCGGTCTGGAAGATATACTTCCTCAGTTACTTAAATTAGTCGATGTAGTGGGATTGTTTATATTGATTATAATTCAATTTACAAACAGAAAATATATTCATGTATAAAGCACGTGCAATATTGTATACCAAAAATTGTTGTTTAATTTTAATTAATTTTTAAAATGTATCCTTACTGTAGCATTTCTTTTTATTTAATACGACCATAAATTTTGTTTTGTTATTTTTTTTTAAATTTGTTCTATAGTTTTCCTGAATTAAAAAGAGTTTAGTTACATGATTTCTTCATTTTGAGAAGAATGTAGCATGTTTCTATTTCTATTCTTTGAAATTAATACATCTTAAACTCCATATTATTAGAGAAATCTTTAGATACATAATCAAACATTAACATATTAATAGACTTAATAAAAATAAAATCTAAAACAACTGTATGATACAAAAATTAACGTTTTAAACCGGGATATAATGAAAGTAGTCATTATATTAATAAATATTTTGTAAGTTTATACGTACAAGTATGTGCGCAACATCCGTAAAATTTGGATCGTATTATGGACATAATGATAAACATAAAGTATCTTTTATTTTAATTATAAGTGTTCTTAATCATAAGAAATAGATAATATTTCATTAGTGTTATAATTTCAAAAAAAAAAAGATTTACTTTAAATTAAGCGTGTAAGATCTACCTACTAATAATGAATGGCATTATACATAACAAACTTAAAAAGCACGAATAAATCATTTTACTAGTAGATTACACATTCTTGTGGATATGGGTTCTTTGCCTCCCAATTGGTGTGTTTTAAATCTCACGTCGCGACATCACCTCCATGAACAACCAGAAAATAAAGCAAGTAATCAAGTGATTAAGATTATTTTAATGAATATGTTTGATTATTAATTGTATGTTCGTTTCAGATTAGTTGAAATTTAGTCAAGTGGTGCTCCATCCGGAGAAGTCGATAGAATTGGGACGGTGGTCGGTTTGATGGATAGTAATTGAATAGCTTCTAACAGCCCATCTTGACTCGTTGAAGCTAGGGGCCAGTTTCCATCTGCAACAGGTTTTAGATTTTAGATTTTTATAATAAAATTTGAATGATGATGAAGAAATACCAGAGTGAGAAGTATATCGCTCTGAACTGGACATCTTGTAGCAAGAGGTTTTCAAAGTATTCATTGGCATTATCCTGGTTTGGTTCCATGTGACTGTGTTCCTGTCAGTCTTCGAGGCTTCCCATGGCATTGACCATCTCCTCATCTGGCTCTCTGGATCCGTGGAGATCCCATCTATCACCTCGGCAGCAGCCGCTTCCGACCATCGACGCTGACCGTTCAGTGGAAATAATGGAAAACTTAAGGATGACTTGACGTTTCGGTGAAATGGAATCTTCATGGACAGCAATTGCCCGGGGTTTGGCAAGGGACCGCGTGTATGCTCGAATATAGCCTGCATTGGATTGGCATCGCAAAAATTCAGTTGAGGCGAGGGACCTCTGGGCTGGTCAGCTTTAAGTAAAACAAAATGTCATCTTATAATAGGACATAAAACTTCGGGTATCTTAAGCAACCTGTTTCTGAAATTCCAGAGGCAATTGGGCGTTGATCAGTCAATGAGTTTCCCCTGGAGGAATCCATCTTTGTACTCGGCCCACATAAATTGGGCGAGGGTGTTTGAGATCGTTGGTCGTATTGATTGCTTTCAAAAAATAAAAAATTAATTTTTAAATTCACAATGGATACTTGGTCGTGATGTACCGCTGCTTCATAACACTGCAGTCCTGTTCATGTGGAAATCCAACTGGCGATTGGCAAACAAAGCAGCAGGTTAGGGAAGAAAATGCATCGTAGCTGGCTGCACAGAACTGGTGCTGAATGTTGATTACAGCTTGTGCATTCTCTAACACAATTAGTTCGTTGTGCTCCCTGAACCGCTTTTGATCCAGCTCGCTATTGGAGGTCTGATCCATGGATGATATGGTGACGAAATCCTGCAGTAAGGCCAACATGTGGGTCTTGACTGTTCCTGTGGCCACAGTGGTTGCTCTAGTGAAGAAAAATATACTTAAATAAAACTCTGTGTATATAGGTAAATTGGCTTTACCTGGCCAAGTCGTTCCATGAATTTGTTAAATATGTTGTTGTGTAATTGTTGAACAACGGCTTCTCGCTCAAGGACCACTGTTCCAAAACTGCAATAGAGTGGGCCAATTTGGAGCCGGCAGTACATAGGTTATTTAGAGCGCTCAAATAATTTATCCAAGCGGCAGAGCATTCACTTAGAGCGGTTTTAGCCGATATCGACGAGTTGCTCCCACTACTGGAAGTAGCCGAGTGTCCGGAGTTGTTGCACAGCTCCTCCATGCTTGGGACTTAATCTGCGATTGTAAAGTATGCATATTTATAAATGAAGCTTCTTGACGAAATTGCTATTACAGTATATATCGATCTTAATAATTCTTGACATTTCACATTTAGACCTTTATTAAATTAAATAGTTCTGTTTGCTAAACTTATTAGTATGTATGGCAAATCAAGCTAGCAGCTAGCCGATGATTATATTGCTTTGCAGGTGCTATCAGTTCTTATGTTGGGTTCTCATGCAAGTTATTTGTAAGATAAAGGGATATTGATTAGCAGGCATCCTTTGGGTGGTGTAGACGAATATAGCTTTCACATGCGATTATTTTCCTAATTTATGTGTGCCATATTATGAGTTCGAATTAAACTTGAATGAGAGTGGTGAATTTATTTTCTTTTCCACAATTCAATATCTCGTGACAAATGACAAATAAAAAATCTTCAAAACAAGGATTAAACTGCCATTAATTCAAGAAAATGAGTATAATTTGGCGCCTAGACTTTGTGTTTTGCGGATACAAATGCCGCTTTTGTATAACCGAATTGCAGTACTATTTCCTATGGTGTAAAACCTATTACCGTTCACCACAGATAGGTATTAGTATTTATTTCACATAAATATAGGAAATCACTGCTTCTCAAAAAAATCACTTCTAAGACTCGTTGGTGCGAACTTCCTGATCCACTTAAATTAGTTTTTTATACTTTACTTAAACTTGGTTAAAAACTTTGCCGGACGAGACAAAGTGTGACCAGAAATTCAATTTGCAAAAATGTTGGAATAAACATGACTGATACCCTAAACGTACAAATCATGTTTGAACTAAACTAACTTAAGCTGCCATTTTTAGTGTAATTAGTCAATCAACTTTATTGCACTTATATTTTACTGAATAATAATATAAAACTTATAAATGAATCTTCAATCGTATACGTTTACTCGTTAAACTTCTGGTATCTCCCATTACTTAATTTCATGGTATTTTTTGTATACCCGTTTTCGTTCATTCTAACAGCTGATTGTGCCTTGTTTATTTATTTATCTTAAAAACGAAGCCTGTTGACATTTTGTTATTAAAATTAATTTATTTCTCAAAGTTAAATGAAAGTGTTTACTTTTATATTAATCATAAGCGCAATTTGCAGCCTTGACGCCTTTAAAACAGCCATTATTCCAAATGAGTTCATTGTACACTTTTATTCCAAATACTTTCCTCCGGTCCGAGAATCCTACATCGCAGCAAAACTTCTTGGTTCAAACGTCAGTGCTAAGAGTTTGTATTTAAATGACAACATGTATTCTATTTATTGTTCCGTTTAATTTAAGCCCATTAGCCAAACAGAAATTCGTATTTAACAATTACTGCAAATGCTTTTTAGTCAGAAATTGAAATTTTGAAAGTTTTGAATAATTTTCACAAGCACTTTTTTATCCTTTTCTATTTTTAGGTAACGAACTGGGAAATTATTCCCCGTCTCAATTTAGCTTGGCAATATCCAAGTGATTTTGATGTCTTACGAGTTTTAAACGTTTATGAATCATCTGCAGAGTTTATTATAGAAAGGATTCAATCCCACCCCTCAGTGAAGGCAGTAGTGCCTCAGCGAAGTGTACGACGGATCCTGAACTATGATGACCACTATAGCAACTCGACATTTGTTCACCGCCATCCCCAAGGGGTTTTAAGGAACAGAAACCCAAACAACGATCGACACCGACAAGTCTGCTCAGTACTCCACGCTAACGTCCTTTGGAAACTGGGAATAACAGGAAAGGGAGTCAAAGTGGCCATTTTCGACACTGGCCTAACCAAAAACCATCCACACTTTCGAAATGTAAAGGAACGAACGAACTGGACAAATGAAAAGTCACTTGACGACCGAGTCAGTCATGGCACCTTCGTCGCCGGGGTAATCGCTTCCTCTAGAGAATGCCTAGGCTTCGCCCCTGACGCCGATCTCTACATATTTAAAGTTTTTACGAACTCCCAGGTAAGTTAATGTGGATCAACTGAGCCAATCTAATTATCACTCCAATGTCAGGTTTCTTACACTTCCTGGTTCCTGGATGCATTCAACTACGCGATATATAGGAAGATTAACATTCTCAACCTTAGCATTGGTGGTCCAGACTTTATGGACTCGCCGTTCGTTGAGAAGGTGTTGGAACTGTCTGCTAATAATGTCATAATGATATCGGCGGCGGGAAATGATGGTCCCCTGTATGGCACGCTAAACAATCCCGGCGATCAGAGCGATGTAGTCGGCGTCGGTGGTATTCAATTTGATGATAAAATCGCCAAATTCAGTTCGAGAGGAATGACCACGTGGGAACTTCCGTTTGGATACGGACGCATAGGACTTGATATTGTCACGTACGGAAGTCAAGTGGAAGGCAGTGATGTGCGCAAGGGCTGCAGAAGACTCTCTGGAACATCCGTTTCCTCTCCAGTTGTTGCAGGAGTTGCTGCACTGCTTATAAGCGGTGCATTTCAGAAAATGGACTTCATAAACCCAGCATCTCTTAAGCAGGTACTCATTGAAGGTGCCGTGAAACTGCCGCATTATAACATGTTTGAGCAGGGAGCTGGAAAGCTGAATTTGCTGAAGAGTATGCAGCTATTGCTCTCATACAAGCCAAAAATAACTCTTGTTCCGGCATACCTTGACTTCACTGTAAACTATATGTGGCCATATAGCTCCCAACCGCTGTACTATGGAAGCTCCGTGGCTATTGCAAATGTTACCATACTCAATGGCATCTCTGTCACAAGTCAGATAGTTGGCACCCCTAAATGGATTCCCGATCTGGAAAACCAAGGTCAATTTCTTCAAGTCTTTACACAAGTTTCGCCTATTGTTTGGCCGTGGACCGGATGGATGGCAGTTTTTATTGGTGAGTTTAAATATCTTTTCAATCTAAGCGATTTTGAAAGCGCAAAGAAGGCTAATTAAATACCTAATATATTGATTTGAAAATCCGCACTCATTTTATACTAAATATTTTTTGTTTTTAAGCTGTAAAAAAGGACGGAGAAAACTTTGAAGGTGTTTGTAAAGGAAGTATCACCATAGTTGTGGAAAGTTTTAAACAGTCTACCAACGAAACTCATGTTACAGAAGTCGACTTTCCTCTAACAATAAAGGTAACTCCAAGACCACCCAGAAACAAGAGGATATTATGGGACCAGTATCACAGTTTAAGGTATCCACCGCGATATATTCCACGAGATGATCTCAAAGTTAAATTAGATCCTCTGGACTGGAGGGCAGACCATATACACACAAACTTTAAGGATATGTATACTCATTTACGAAACGTTGGCTACTATATTGATGTTCTGCGAGAACCGTTCACCTGTTTTAACGCCTCAGATTATGGCGCCTTGTTGATTGTTGATCCTGAGAGAGGGTTTGGCGACGAGGAAATAAACGCTTTGAAGGAAAACGTTTATAAAAGAGGTTTGAATGTCGTCGTCTTTGGAGACTGGTATAACACCACGGTGATGAAAAAAATTAAATTCTTTGATGAGAACACCAGGCAATGGTGGACACCCGACACCGGTGGCGCCAATATTCCAGCCTTGAATGATTTGTTGAAGCCATTTGGAATTGCTTTTGGCGATTTTGTCGGGGAGGGACATTTTAAACTGGGGGACCATTCAATGTACTATGCTAGTGGAGCAACAATTATTAAATTTCCAATGAATCCAGGAGATATTTTAGTGGGAACCAAACTGAATGACCAAGGACTTTCGGTAAATTTAATAAAATATGTTTTTATTTGCATAGAATTAAAACATGCGTCTTCCAGATTATAAACTCAAAAACCCCCAACAAGGCGACCAAAACAGATGTACCTATTTTTGGTATGTTTCAAACCAAGGCTAACAGTATTCAAACCAACGAGGAAATCGTGAGCAATGCGGAAAGCAATGTAGTAGAGGCTATACCTACAGATTATTCCACATTTAAAAATCGAGTTTTGCTTCTACGAAAGAAGGAACGAAGTATCAGTTTTGCGAAAAGCAATAATCATGAAACTAATCGTGAAGGACGTATTGCCGTATATGGGGACTCCAACTGCCTCGACTCCACGCATCTGGAGAAGGCTTGCTACTGGCTGCTTATAACATTTTTAGATTTCGCAATAAACTCCCACAAATCTAGCTTATTGCAGAATCTAAACCGTATAACTGAATTTCACAGATTAGAGAGAGCACCTTTACCCCTTAGGATATCGCGAAGTATTTTAAAGTCCGGTACACAGAACAACATTTGTGAACAATTTGATTGGCTTGCACCAACGAGGAGAAATAACGTTGAGCAAGGGAAATCTTCTATAGTAGAAGTAGCTGTAATGGAAAATGAAGGTATTTATGTACATTTATTTTATCTATGTAGTCTAATATTTATGTTTTGTTTCAGGGAACGATGTAAATTCAATTAAAAACTTATTGGGTGAGGAGATCGAAAAACTATTGCAGAATAATGATTATTTAACAGGAATGCAATCCGCTGATAGTTTAATAACTCCCATTATATTCTTGATAATATTGAGCTTAATTGTTATTATATTATTTGTTATATTTGTAAGGCGTCGATTTGTTTTGTAAGTAAATATTCGGTTTTTTAAAAGAACGTAAAATGTCTTTGGAATTTTCTTTCGTGGATGCCTCGGTAAGTCCAATGGGATTTTTAATACGTATGTATAGAACTAACATTGATTAAAATCCAATTATTACTTATCAAAAAGATAAGGCAATGGGGCTAAGCCTTGTAGGGCTGTAAATGCTATTTGTTAATCAAAAAATATTAATTATAACAGTTCCTTGAGAGTAAAAGGCTATACTAGATTCATTGAAAAATGTGTTACAAGTGGGCGGAATCGTTTCAAACCAATAAAATATATAGAGACCTCGAGAACTATAGATAGGAAGATGAGATATGGAGATTCTAGTGACGTCTACAAAACTGTGTTTGTTTTTTTTTCTAGCACTCTTCTAGCAGAATAACTGGTATCAGATAGTCGAGGAACTCGACCGTTTACTTGTTTCATCCACAATTTGTACTTACTTGAGCACTTAATGCATATTTCCGAAGGTGTCCCTTTTCTGTAAAGGGATTTAATTGAAATAGCTTTATGGAGCTTAGTTTTAAAAACACATTTTATTCATTTGTATAATTTTAAAATCTTTAAATTGTAAGTTACTTAAAAAATTAAAAATGAGAGCATTTCAATCGTTTCTACATACAAATAAGTGTATTTGTAAGGATTTTGTTGGAATTAGTTGTAAAAAGCTTTGTGCTTTTGACAAAAAGTCGATGTATTTTTCTAAGTTAAATAAATTATACGTATTTAATATATTTGAATATTGTACATTCAAATTACAGTTATAGATATACAAAATGTCCAATAATTTACACTTAACTAAATAAATTAATTTACAGGAATTTTATAATTTTTATTGATGTTGTACCTAGTGTATGGAAAATTAATCTTAAAGTACGGCTTGCTTCAATCTGTGGCAATATACAACATAGCCTATCATTTTTTTTCGTTGTCAATTTTACTTTTATCCAACGATGACGACACCATCCCTCCTCCGTTCGAAGGGTACAGCTTTTCCAAGTAGTTTAATGACTCGTTTAGAAATGTCTGCAATCAGAGATAGGACCTAATGGTTGCAATTTCAAGAATACAACTGAATCCTCACCTGAAAAGCGTGCAGAACAGCCATAATTGCGGGCGAGCCGAATCCGTGCGTTATCAGGGAGAAGTGTGTCAAGTGGCGCTGCATCGATGGTTCCAGCAAATGCTGTGATCTCGTGCCGAAGTGAGTCGTTCGATCTTGGCTTAAGATTTGCATAAGCTCTTTAGTAATCTGGAATATTTTAATTATATTTTGATTAATCTGTGTGGTTGTCCAAGTAATCAATAGTTTAAGAACATTAACAGTGGAAAGTCTAATATTTATAATGCATCTTTTTGTTCGCATACCTGCTGGGAGTGGAGAATAAGCTCTTTTCGTCGGTACGAGTCCTGCGGCTCCGTTTGGTGGCGCACGATGTACTCCGCCAGCTGCCTGGCAGGGAACTCGGTTTCGCACACAAAGTGAAAGTCCTTGGCCAGGTGCGTTGCCTCCCCCTCCACTAAGGATGTCAGTAGTGTCACGTTGGCCGCTTTCCGTCTGCCGGCCGGTAAGTTCAGACCGATCTTCTCCAGCTTCTCCCTCAGCAGGCGCCCTCCGTTCTTGCTCTTGGCCCTGAAACGAAAAGTGGTTAGCTAATGACCCAACCAGGTGGGGATCCCATGTGAACCCACCTTCGGAGCACTCCGCCCAGCAGGGAGGCGTTCAAGCACTCGGGGGGCGAGAGGCGACGCTGTACTTCGGCGATGGTGACCTTGTATTTCGAGGTGCTCGATAGGAGACTGAGGCGACCGGGAACTGCACAGAATACCTCGCTGGGCGAACCCGATCCAATGTTCCCGGCTTCTTTTCCGCTTTTCATGCCTGCAAATAAACGCAACACCGAAAATTAGTCTCCATGAGTTTGTATGTATAGTACACCATATTGTTCATATTGTAGGAAAATATATTATTATGGCCTTTGTTGTTATTGTTCCGACAGTGCCAAGTGTGAAACCAGGACGTGGGGATCGTTTTACGCGAATCCTGCCAATTAGAAGGGCAAGATTGAGTTTCACAATTCACAAAATCTCTCTATTTCCAGGGGTAGGTCCTCATTTTGTTATTTAGGCGTGGCCTAGGTTCCGCCTCGAATGCCACATGGAGTGGAATGTAACTTCCAAGTTCGCCATGAATGTGCTTATAATAATGTGTTTTTGACAAAATGTCAATATAAATACAGTGATATTCATATCCAAACACAGTTTACAATAATCGAATATAGCTATCTTAAAAGTTAATAATACATTTTAAGTGAGATAATGTTTATAAAAAACAAACCATCGCTGTCATTGAATTCTCGATCTCATAAAATATGAGCATATGCCCTAAAAACCTAAATTTTATTTATTTCTTGTAGTCACCCCCTTGAAATACTCGGAGTACGACTATTTAGGATTAAAAGTCTCTTCTCAAAGGGATGTTTTTGGTTTGGTATGTAGAATAAGAACGGCTATCACAACTAATCGTAAAGTGCGTGGGAATAAGAAATCCAAATCCATTTCTTATGATAGTTTGCAGATCTAGGGAGCTATCAAATTGAAAGATATGCCAATGTGAACTTACTCTTTATGAGCGGCAAGTCTGACATGAACGCCACATTGTCGTCGAGGGCAGGAGCTTGGACATCATCGACGGCGTTTTGAAGGGCTTGGTGCAGCGCCAGGGACTCGTGCTCGTGACCAAGTCTCGTTCCGTGGGCAGTTCCCGCCGATATTGCACTGCCGTAATCGCTCCTCCTATCCGTGTACGGAAATCCATGTGAGAGTTGGGTCTGCAAAGGCATTCAAGATTAATTTTCGTGTTACAGTCAACGCGGAGTGCTAAGTACGAAATAATCTACCATCTACATAAGTGCCTCTATACTTATTATCCTTTGGTTTATTTGGCTTCTGTAAGCTTGGGTAATATCTGAAAAACGTACCCTGATAGTGTTACAGCTTCCATTTGGCTTTTATATTCTCAGATGCTGAGCACTGAGTACTTTTCAGCTAAAAAGTTCCCTCACACAGCGCCTCAATTCAAGCGTAAACACAACTCTTGCAGCCCAGTGTTTTTAAGGGTATGAAGGCAATGATGCCAATAATTGCGAGATTATTAATACATCGGGGCTTCGGCTTGGCCAAGGGGTTGAAGTCGCCGCATAGCCAATCCGAGGTCCTGGCCGCTAATGTATGCAGACCGGCTGGCAAACTGGCTGGCACTCATACACTGACAGACTCTCGCCAGAGCCGCGTGTGCTTGAGAGTCCTTTGGGCGGACAGATGCGCACAGAGCCTGCGAGGATACGCCTTCTCGGGGCACAAGGCTGCGTTTCACTGCACCACTTGCCGGTGGAACGAAGGGGGAAAGGACTCCCTTCGGCGGGCTAAGGCTGAGCTAGGAATTTCATCGTTGTTGGGAAGAGTTTCTTGCGAAATCCCAAGAACATTTTTCACATTTTTCGGAGTATGTTTTTTAATGCACTCGAATGGAATCCGTTTCAAAATAACTTCGACAACTTTCACAGAGCGGGCCAGCAGCCACCCCCAAATGTTCCATGGCTTTCGAAGCCAGGAATGTAGCAAAATATGCAAGAATAATGTGGAACAAGACGCAAATTCTTAAGCGGCTGAAAAGATTGAGTCCTGCCTTCTTGTTAGCAGTTATTGTAATATGCCGGCAGTCGCAGTACTAAGGCGGAAATATTTAACTTTACTCAGCTAAAATGGCCAAGGATGTACACATCGTAGAACATGATAGGCTTATATGAAAATTATACTTTAAAATCTATTACTTTGTTGTTGTGTGGGTTCTATTAATATATCATTCTATAATTATGTTGATAGATTTCTAAAGTAAAAATGTAAAGGTGATTTTCTTTTCAATTTTGTTAAAGTAAAACTTAGTATCTCTATTTTATAATATCTCGCAAATAAAAATATATGTAATTCTTAAGTAGCATTTTTAAGTCTTGTGACCTATCAATAAAAGCTATCACATTGATACCCGTTGCTCGACTGGAAAGTTGAAAGTAAGCATGCAGATTCTAGTGATGTTTCAGCTTGTTTCACCCAAAAATCTCAAAAACTGCCACGCCTACAATTCCAAAAAAGGAAACGGAAGCTTTTCCAATAAGCCCAAAAAAATCACTTGTAAAACATGCAGATAACATACAAATAAATGGTTAGATTATGAAAACAGAGTCCTTCCAGGAATCTACTTACTACATGTCCCTGCAGCTCAGCCTCTCTGTGGGTCCTGTGGATCCCCAGTTGGTCCTGCGTGGACCGCAGTCCCGCCAGCTGGTTGTAGTGGTGCAGTGGGGCGTGGTGAAGCGAGGACAGGGGCTGGCCATACGGATCCGTGCCCAAGTACTCGAGGGCTCCATGGTTCTGCAAGTAGCCGGATATCTAGATAGCGCTTGGGATCATCAGGGACCGCATCAGGGGCGCCGCGCGGATGTGATAGCTTACCTGTTGCTGGGGGGGACTCTGGGTGGAGTGGTGGAAGGGGGGCGGGAAGTACGGCGGCTGGAAGTCGGACTGCAGCGACTGGTGGTGCATGGTGGCCGCCGATCCATGGGTGCTGCTGTGCCCACTGTGTCCCGTGGCCGGTCCGCTGCGTCCCGTGTGCCCGCCGGAATGCGTTGTGTACGCCGCACTGCCACTGGACAGCCCTAGACTCCCATGTCCACTGAGGCGTTCCTGGGGAAGACACGCACATTTGTAGGTAACTCGAATTGCAAACACATTTCTTGGAGAAAGTATACAGTTTATGGTTTTCAAGAGAAGCTCGGCCATCAAATGTTATATTGCATGTAACTCTGATTAGAATACTTGGCGGGAAGAAATTCAAGTTTCCCAGATGAGTTAATGCAATTTTCGAAAATGGAATGTACTCGTAATATACTTTAATTGGGATCTCATTTCATGAATCATATGTACATGGCCGAGAGTGAGAAATAACAAGTAAAAACGTGGAGGATCTATGGCGGATTATTCGGATATGGCGGTATATATGGCCGCTTATGGCGGGAAAAGTTAATGGTGAACCACAAAATTGTATGTAATTCGTAGTGGGCACGCACTTCCAAATTTATTATGTAGGTTTCTCAATATCAGACTAATATAATTTCGTGAAGGATTTAATTTTCTCAGGATAGCATATGTTTTGGTTGAAAATAAAATACTTAGTAACGTCCACTAAGAAACACATTCCTTTGAGGGCGTATTTCAGGCTCTTAAGAAAAGTTTGGTATATGGTTGAAAAAAACACCGTCGGTAACACAGTTTTTGGAACTCTTTGGATATCTATTAGGTGTTCATGCTTCCTTCGCATTACAACTTAAAAAAGCGGCGAAAAGCAATATGAATCAGATAGTTTAAACGTGAATTTTTGGATCTGTCACTGGTAATAGTTTACAGCACATAAAAATAGCTTTAATGAGATTCAACATTCCAGTTGTCAGATGTGGGAACCAATAATTCACTGATATTTTTAGATGTATGATTAATTCGATTCCAATAATATACGTAGATCAACCAATAACTCTCAGCTTGGTCTGTAAAACTATTAAAATTGATTTTATTTTTTAATTAAATATCACAACCACTAGGCACACAACATTTCATTTTAATTGAAAAATCATTAAAATTACTATGTGGTCACAGTGAACTCGTCTTGCGATGTATATTGAATATAAAACATTTAAGAAACCACCAGCCATATCCGAAACACAGAAAGTCTCCTGAGGTCATGTTCTCTAACCGCCGCGAAATTCGACACACTGTCAATCAATTCTCTCTTAATCCAGTGAGATCCCAGTGAGATCCTAAGTCCGAAATATACCTGAACGTGAATTACAGCTGGCATATCCACATAGGCTAAAGTCATGTTATCATATTTAAGTCCGCCGAACCCTATGCACACATATTGATGGGGTTATCCGCTATTCTGGGGGGCTGTCGGTATATTCCGGAACTATTTCGCTATATCGCGGCAGATCACAATCGCAAATCAAACGGGGTTCGTTCTGAAGACCGATTCGCGCTTCTTTGATTTTTCGACTTTCCCGCACCGACGGCACCATCAGCAGTCTACGAGCGACGAACGCGAAATGAGAACTAGTCTCGCGCCAGTGTGCCAAAAAGGCGAAAAGGTTTTTCAGCCGGCGACGGCGGCTTCGCTTCGCAGTCGCTACCGTTAGAGGTCGGATAGATGGATGGATGGATGGATGGCTGGTGGGTCGTTCGGTCGGTCATATGGTCGGATAGTCGGATGGTCGGAGCGGTGCGGCTATAGGGAGAGATTACCGCCGATTCGAGATCTTTGTTGTGGGCGAAAGCACATTTAAATGTGTGCGGCATAAAGGACTCGCATAATGAGGTCGGAAGCTCGGCTTGGTGAATGGTATCACACAAGCCATTTGACATCCTGCCCAGTCGCGCGCCTTTGAATTGCCAGGACTCGCAGGATGCAGTGTCAATGGGAGATGCGCGCGATAAGGCCGATCCGGTGGGGTACACCCATTAGGTATCCATAACTGCGGCTATTGATTCCCTGAATTTGCCCACTGCGCGCCATTCCATAACAAATTTGCGAGTATACGACTGTCTTGCATTAGGCTGCTCTTATTTACCTGCTATTTAATTCAGCATTGTGTCCGGGGATTGCGGAAAAGAATGACAGTAATTTGACACAAAACGTTGAGGTTTTCACAAATCGAACATGTTTATTCGATTGTGCAAGAGTGTGTTGGGCGGACGGACCGAGGCTCGCGGAGGATCGGCCTTCATTGTGGTCCAAATAAGGAACTCCTCCAAGTGGACCAAACAAGGAAGGCGCTGCCCAAGCGCTCTACTTCCCCATCACATTTCGCATCGCCTTAATCAACTAATTCATATTGCTTACACATCCAAATCGCAGCTCAATTATTTACTTCTGAGCAGTAGTTATTAGTGGATGACCGAATAATTGGCGATTCAGTTAGGCATTCGGAACCATAACCGTTGGCTCGTGTCTATATACCAGATTTTTGTCGAGCTAGGCAAGTAAAAATTCCATGGGAGCAGAGGTGTACTGTTCTATTGTATTGGGAATTATTGTAAATAGTGTCGAGTTAAAAACTGAACCTTTTTTCTTTAAATAAAAAAGTATTATTCCCCGGTTAGCCTTTTATATTAAGTTCACCGCCTTAAAAATTTCAGATAATACCCATTTTTGATCATCGTATCTTTACAGCTCCTAAAAACCAGTTTCTGCAAGTCTTCAGCTTGTAATAACCATATTCGTGGAATGTCTGCCGAACTACTACATTTTCCTATCAAATTATGGATCGCCAAGTGGCTTGGTGAACTTAGTGAATATGCTCGTACACTTTAGCCACATACGACTGAGTATGAACCAATCTTGATAGTTGGGCTCAAGCCCTAGGTTTGGTAGGGAGCATTCTTGCGGGTCTTTGGCTGGCTGGCTGGGCCAAGAACGTGGCAATTGCGGATCGGGCACGACTTTATTGTGGCTTAATAAATTAAAATAATTTTGATTGATTACTTTGGATTATCTTGTCATTTGCCAACATCAAATAGAATATTTAGGAACACAGGTAAACCGGTTCTCCTTTGTTTTGCGTGAATATTCGTCTATTGGCGGCTGGGTTCTCGGTGGTTTTCTTTTTCGAAACCCCGGAGATTTCGCGCATCTTACGCTGAAGAATCTGAGCTTGGCTCTAATCAAAGCCAAATCTGGGTATTAACTCTTCGATCAATTAAAACGGTATTTCTCTATGAAATCGAGTACTGGAGTGGGGCACCTCAGAATCCTACAGCTCTACAGCTCCTTTAAGTGCTTCCTCACTTATGGCCTATTTTTAAATTCCCTCCTGGTTTGTTTACTTGTACTGAACTCGATGTTACCTAATGTTTGGTAGCCGCTAATACGCGGCTGTCTGCTCATCCGTCTTCGGATACTCGCGGCTTATTCTCGGCTCTTGCCGTCACTCAATACCGTCAACATAGTTGGCCCGCTCGGAATTCATTGGTGTGGGTATGCGTGGCTTTCGGGCAATGCTTTTGACCCTTTGCCAGTTGGCAGAGTTCTTTATTCCGCTGCTATTTCTATTTATTTATTTATTTTGCCATGGGTTTTTTCTCCATTATTAATTGTGCGATTGGAAACTCTGGTTTTCAATCACATGAGTTTCAGAACTTTAGCCCATTGTCTGCCATTGCGAGACATGAATGTGCCGAAATTTCTGACTTACTCTGGTGGTCAATACTCCCATGGCGTAATTCAAGATAAAGATAAATAAATTATAAAGGTTCCAATGCTGCTCGGCGAACAGACACCATCTGGTTTTGGGGGGCACGGGCAAAGGTACAGGCACAGGTACAGGTAGACAGTTGGAAGCTGTTGAGCAGGTCGAAATAGTTTCACCTCAAGTGGGTTCTGTTCCAAACGACGGTCATACAAAACTCACAAAGCCTGGCTCGCAGATCTCGGCTCACATATGTACGCACAATCTACACACACGCCTTGTATAAATGCGCACTTCACCCGATATTCTAATGAAACGTTATCCACTTGCGAGTGATCAATTGCCATTAAAAGAGTTTTGACTCCAGAACCAGGGCTCACTTATCTAACTGGCCTATTACGATGCTCGGTCCAGTCCTAATATCGGCCGGCTCTGCGTCTGCCACCCCTTGTCTTGCTGGATTAGATCCGTTTTCTAACGTTCTTGGTTCTTGCATCCTACTTACTAGTGGTATCAGTAAAAACCTTGTTAAGCATTTTAATCATAATAATAATAATAAAATGATTATAAGGGTAAGATACTAAAAGATTTTTGGAGAGAGACCTGTACTTCGTTCCATTTAAATCAAATGCAATCTCATAGAATCTTTGGTTTGACGAAGCGTTTTCCGACCATAATAAATTCAAAATACTTTATATTGGCAACCCTAAAAAATAAGTTTGGCAAAATATTTGCATTTAAATAAAATTACTTCTTGCGAATTTCATATGGTACAAAATACTTAAAAGAATGTTTTTTAATTATCATTTTTGAACAGGATTAGTATTGTAATCTGATTTTTGTATGGCTTATTTAGTCTTATTTTTATAAAGTGAAGTAAATCTACCATTTCCCAAGTACTGACTTTATTCGATCGCACACATTTTTGAAGATATCATATAAATGGTGTAGTATAAGAAGTTCGGCTTTTCGTTTGCGTACACTGTTTGGTCTAGCGACCAACCTTTTTAAATTTGTTTATTTTTAATCCCGTAACCATACAATTTTATTTGTGCTTAAATAACTTGTGTACATTGTATTTAATTTTGTCCCTGCATTATAATTTGTAGTAGAAGATGAATTTGCAAGTAGGGAAATGAGTTTTAATTAATATTTAAGGAGGTTTTTATTAGGCTATCATCCCGTAAATAGCATAACAAAAACTTATTTCGTAAGTTACCCAAACATCTTTCTGAGAATTAACTAGGACCGGCGCCAATTAAAAGAAACGGTGCATATCTTTGCAGAAGAGGTTATTTCTCTTCAACTCATTCAAAGAGTTATCCAGATCCAGAATTTATAGTATCCATGGGCGTGTCTTGCGGATATACCTTGATTTCTGCTACCTTACATGCATTTTACATAATCGTACACGCAGTAGGCGGCATCTATGTTTGGAGAACTGAACCA